GAGCCACAAGGAGCCGAGGTCCCACCAGAACCACCATCTGAAGCAGAAAGTGGTGACAACTCTCCAGCCCGTGAGCACCTGGGGGTCTCCAGTTCAATGCCCCAAAGCCCAGAAAGGGGCTCACAGAACCCCTCCTGCTGCCTCCAAAATCCCTTGAGGTCACCCATCCATCTCTGCATTCCCCCCTTCAAGATCTCCAGGCTCATGAGATGACTCCAATGGGGGGAAAAGTCCCAACCCAGAGAGGCCTCAAACCCCACGTTTTTATCTCCACCCACCTTTTTTCCCTCTTTTTCCTCTTCCCACGTTCCCCTCCAGCAGGTGGAAGCAGCCAAGAGCCCAGCACCGCCTCATCCCAACGTGCCCCAGCTCTGTCTCTGTTCCTCCTGCAGGATGGGATGAGTTTGAGGTGAAGGGGGGACCAATGGTGGGAGCTGCTCCTGTGGGGGGAGAAGGAGGAGGGATGAAGAAGGAACAAGAGAAGAGATGGAGGGAGTGTGAAAGGAGGTGGAATTGAGGAGAAGGGGAAGGAGGAGGGATTGGAGCAAGAGGAAGAGGAGGAGGAAGAGGAGCAAGTGTACCCCAGTATGGCCAAGGAGGCACTGCTGGTCCCCATACACGGGTTAGCTGGGTGAGGGAACCCAGGTGTGACAACAGCTGGCACCAGGTGGCACTTGGGCTCTGAGGACAGGGCTGGGAAGGAGCTGCACTGGCCCACGGATTGACCATCTACATTCCATGGGAGCCCTGGAACACCTGGAGGAGCCAGAGAGCTGCCAGGCCCAGAACCAAACATTCCCCACCTTCTGGGTGGTGTCAGCACCGTGGAGGTGTCGGGGCTGCTCCAAAGGGATCCCCACACGCTCCCTGATGGGCAAAAGGTGCCCAAGAGCAGCTGAAAGGGATCCACGGGGAGGGGCTGTGCTGGAAGGGGCTGGATCAGGCTGATTGCAGCCAGTTTGGGGCATGGGCATCTCCATGGCAACTGCCAGGGCTGTGGGATGTGGGGCCTCAGGGTGCCCAGGGGCCACCGGGACACTGAGGGGCCTCCTGGAACTGAGGGGACATTGTGACACTGAGGGGCCTCCTGGAACTGAGGGGACATTGTGACACTGAGGGGCCTCAGGGAACCGAGGGGACATGAGTGAAAGGACTCCAGGAGATGCCTGGGATGAGTCTCAGGAGCATTCAGTAGGATACAATTTACCATAAAGCACTTCCTAATAAAGAATGTTTGCCTCTAAAACTCCCAAAGTGAGCCTTAGGGGTTTCTTTTAGAGGCTGATTTTAGGGCAACAAAGCTTCAGGATAACCCTCCGTGGGGACAGGAAAAAAACATCTTGGGTAACTGCCCTGGAGGAGTCTGGAGCTGATACACAGGATTTCAGATACTGAAATCAGAGCTAAAGGCTCCAGGAGAAGCCTGGGAGGAGTCTCAGATAGATCCTGGAAGATCCAGGAACTAGAGAAAGCAAAAAATCGTCCCTGGAACCATCCCTGGAGCAGGGGGTTGCTTCCTGGGATTTCAGGTCCCCAAATCAGAGATAAAGACTCCAGGCAATGTTTGAGAAAGGTCCAGCTTCTACCCAGGATATCAATTGTCTGAATCAGCAGATGAAAAGACTCCGAGAGGTGTCAGGAGGAGTTTCATCTCAGAATAGAGAGCTAATTCCAAACAAGAAAAAACACATTGGGAAGCTTCCCTGGAAGAATCTGGGGCTGCTTTCTGGGAACTCAGGACACACCTGAGAGGAGTCTCAAGTGGATTCCAGAGCAAAAATTTACCTTCAAAGGAAAAAAAAACGCATTGGAAACCTTCCTTGGAAGATTCTGGGCCCACGGTGAGTAACCCAGGGCCCAAAATCAGAGATCAAAAGACTCCAGGAGAATCCTAGGAGGACTCTCAGGTAGATCCCGAAAGATTTGGGATGCGCAGAAAAAAAAGAAAAATCATTTCAGGTAACTCTGGTAACCTTGGAAGAGCCTGGAGCTGCTCCCTGGGATCTTGGCTCCCTCAAGGAGTGAAAAGACCCCAGGAGATGCCTGGGATGAGTCTCAGGAGCATTCAGTAGGATAGAATTTACCATAAAAGCAAAATATCATCTCAAGCAACTTCCAGGGGAGAGTCGGGGGGTGTCACAGGACAGTGGATCTATAGGTCTCTGTAATGAGTAGTAGTGGTTTAATTTACTCATCAAATTAGTAATAGTAGCTTACTCATTAAACTGTAGTGCATGTTATATTCTTATATACATATATATGTCATTATATTTACTGTTCTGTTACGGGTAAGAAACTGTAAGTTGTAGAATGGTTCATTAATCTATCAGCATTGTAAGCTGAAAAGCATGGAGTTTGCAGTACTAAAGCTAGAAAGACAAACCATTGTGCCTTGTTAAATAAATATTTTTGTATCTTATTATTCTAAAAAGCTTATTGTCTCACAGCACGCATAAAGTAACGAAAGAAAGGACAAGGATTGAAAAGTCAGGAACTGAAACGATACAGAATATCCAAGACGGACATGTGGAGATGCCTGCACGCTAGACCTCAAGGTCTAGGGACTGAGTGAAACTACGGGAGGAGAAAGCACCTGGCAACTGAAGCGAGAATGCAGAGAAGCCAT